GACAATTTCTTCTACTCCCCTCTGTACAATAACTAATTATACACCGATCTAGCGTGCGGGAAACGTCATTTTTCAGCGTGAATTTCATGTCCCACGAATCCGAGCCACTTCGGACATTTCCGGGATTTTACCGCACGGGTTTGGGAGCAATCGGATGTTTTAGGAGATTTTACAGCACGGCTTGAATTTTGACGTTTGTCAATTCTGACGGTCCTGTCAGATTTTAATATCTAAGAGACATAGAGATTCGCTATATTTCTATGTGTTAAAACCAGAAAAAAGATGACATCTTATATTTGATTGTCACTATTGGTAGCTTTCCCCGTTGATATGACGGCAGCCACCTCCAATAGAACCATCGACGGGGGTCATACTCGTTAATAGCGTTTTTTTTTTTCAAACTCCTTGAGCTGTAATTGTGTATCGTGTATTAATCAGACGAGATTCAACGTAAAGTCTAATATTTCCACTGAAAATTCTCAGACATTTGCTGTAATTTAATTTTATTTTTTCATTATCTATATATTTAATGCCATCGCTTTTCTAACAACGTATTGATTACGAGAAGGATTTTCGGTAGCGAAGGCGACGAAAAGGTCGTACGTAATTGAAGGGGGATAATTCCTGACATTATTTCACCATTAATAATCAGTCGAAGATTAAAGCGTTCTCTATTTAATCGAGTTATAAATTAGTGACTGTAAATTGATATCTAAAGCTCCGCTAAAGCTTTTCGTTGCTTGCTGAGGTGGGAAATAATTTTGCACTTTCTTAGCCATTTGTTTCAAAATTAAGAAGAGAAAAATCAATTTTTTATACCAAAGGCCCCTTGTGTTTTTGAATCATTAAAAGGAAGAAGAGCTTTTGCAACTTTGAAATAGTAGATTTTGCACGGCGACGGTATAATACAGAAAATAAATGCTAGGTGTGTAGTTGAGATTTAACATGTTGAGTTGTAAGTTTGTTTTTGACAGAAAGGAGAAATGGCAATTTTAAGTAATATCCCGTTATTCAAAAATATATAGAGCGTTGCATATAGTAAATAAATTTTTCAGTTTGATAACAAGTATTAAAAGATACAGCGATTTCTTTTAAATATAACCAATAAATATAACTAATAACTGTAACTAAGAAAATAAATAAATATTAATAAAAAAAACAAGTTTTAAACGAGATATATTATTTTGACACACTATTTGGACACCCTGTATATAAGAAAAATTACATGGAAAAAATGCTATAACATTTTGTGAACGCCGTTTTAAAAAACAGATGCGAGAAATACACGAAACTGAAATGAAATTCCTTTTTAGAACCTCCGGTCCTTTTTTAACAAACATCAAATGCTATTTCATTAGCAGATTTTGCTTTCATAATTAACGGGGCCTTGGAATTTATATACCGTTTGTTGCCGTACAAATTTAATTATTTATTATGCTGAAGAGTAGATTAATAGAGCTTAAGCCAACGTGTGGCAGACTGACGAAACGTAATTTGGGATCAAATGGGCGCGTTGAAAGGATCTTACAATTCGACACTCCAAGCGAAATCGGCTTTAGGTCTTCAGATCGTTGCTTCAAAGCATATTCCTCGGTAATATGATAATAACATGGGGTGATTCAAGTTATGTGGGTTATTAAAAATTCTGGAGAATTAAATTATGAATTAATTATTAGGAGAAATTGTTATTATTACATTAAAAAGTGCAAATGTTAGGAGTCTTAGTTCTACAATATCCTAGAATGGGAGTTTATTAGTTTCTAATTCAAAAGTATAATGTCAGGACGCAGAAAATCAGGAGAATTTTTAACCATGAGGTCAATTAACAAAGGTAGAATCAACGTATCATTTCTATAGTTTGCTCCTGACATTTGTTCATAACTTTGACCGTTACAAGAACAATATGCCCCAGAAAATTTAATTAAAAATTCTCGAATTTTAATATATTTGAAATTGTTTTGAGACTTTCAGTAATAGAACTACGTTGGAGCTAATAATATATTTTTGAATGGTCCAATGAAATGAAAGGAGTTAATTACAAATCAGTTTACAAATCAGTTGAATATGTATAATTTTCTTTGAAAAATGAGCCGTATTACAGCATTATTGCTATAGGAAAATGTTGAATTGTCAATTATTTCGGAAACTATACATTTTCGGACAAGCTTATTTAAAATACGAGGTTCTAATTTGAAAAAAAAAAAGACTTTCTAATATTCAAAATTAAATAATTAAGGCTCCCTTACACAAAAAAATGTTAATTATTTTAATGCCTGCAAATGTTATGTTTGCCATACATGTTACGTTCCATACCCTTGTAAAATCTTTGTTTATGGTTCGGTTTTGATATTTTTTGTTCGATAGATCTATGAAAAATTCACTAAAACCGTATGTTCCTTGTTAGATAAACCTAAAGTCATGGCTAACTGGTACTAATTTTTGATATCAAATATCTAGAAGGGCTGTTAGAGAATTCTTTAAGAACAAAGTGTCAACGAATTTTTGCTTACAACTACGGGGTGCTCCAAACGTCGTGGTTCCCTCGCTTAAGCATTACTCCTGTAGAATATTGGTTTATACCTCAATTTTGATAATTATTTTTTGCTGGATAGACCCTACTTTAGAGAAATAAAACGGTATTTCCGTATAGCATCGACTAAAGTCATGGCTAACTGACATAGTTTTTTGAAGCGGAAAATCGAGAAGTACTTTTAGAGATTCTTTCAATTTGAAAATGACAACAGATTCGTGTTCGGTTTATAATGTTTATAAAAAAAATATGGTAAACCTGTAAATAACGATTATTTTGTATGTGATTTTAAGATCTTAATGATTTGAGTTATTCACGGAATTAAGTATGGTTAGGTTTTATGTAGTTCTGAATTAGAATTTGTTGACACTTTGTTCTTAAAGATATCCCTTCCCGACATTTGACATCAAAAATTAGTTCCATTTAACCATGACTTTCACTTGGTGTAATAAGAAACATAAGATTTTAGTTCGTTTTTGAGAGATCTATCCAACAAAAAAAAAATCAAACCGTAATCAAAGATTTTACAACGATGTACAGCTTCAAGTGCGCCGTAAACGATATTTCAAACACGATATATTGAAACATTATAAAAATTGGTGTAGTTGGGTTCTAAGTACTCGTGAATAAGAATTCGTTGCCAATGTATTCATAAAAACGAATCTCCTTTTCGTTAAATAAGCTTAGTTGACCATGACTTTCAGTTGAAAGAATAAGCAAAACTAAGGTATATAACATTCATACATGAAATATATCCAGAATTTCCCTGAGGATTATAAAATGCAATAATATACAGGGTATGTTATTTTATTACTATTTATTATTATATTACTTATTTATTTATTTTGGCATTTACTCCAGATGAACAAAACTCCCGGTATACTTGAAAGGGAGTACTTTTTCTACGACCGTTAGTTTTTATATATATTATTGCAAAACAACACGAATATATTGACTGACTTGACCGCCAGAATCAACAAACGTCAAAATTCAAGCCGTGCAGTAAAATCTCCGTAAACATCCGATTGCTCCCAGACTCGTACGGTAATATTCGGGAAATGTCCGAAGAGGCTCGGATCCATGGGATAAGAAACTCAACTATTCATTTATCCTTCCGATCGGTTCTGCTATTGTTGTTGTCTTGTGTTATTGAATATGTCATATAAACAACGGAATAAACACAATTTTAAAACGTTATGTTGTTTATTTAACTTTTACAATTTAAAATAAAAAGCAAGTCCTAACCTTCAATTTTGTTTTGCTTGTAATGATGAGACATAGATATTTGAAAATGGTACAATTGGTATTGGCAAAATATTAATATGAAAACTGTAAAAAAGACTAAAGTTCATGCGAACGGTATGGAATCTTAAACTATAAATGTCATTTTAATTACTGAATAGTCCACTAGATTTTAATTGTAGCTTATACCACATAGTATTTAAATTGTCTGATATATTGCATAACATTTTTCAAAATAAATTAGAACTAAAAGTTCAAATTTTCACGAAATTATATATTATGACATGACAATTGTTTCGACAACACCGTGTCTTTATCAAATGATAAAGACACGGTGTTGTCGAAACAATTGTCATGTCATGATATATAATTTCGTGAAAATCTGAACTTTTAGTTCTTATTTATTTTGATAAATGGATTTTCATCAAGTAAAAGCCACCTCAGTTCAATTCATAACATTTTTCTGTGTATTAGTTTCAAAATTGACAAACGTCAAAATTCAAACCGTGCGGCAAAATTTCCGAAAACTTCCGACTGCTTCCAAACCCGTGCGGCAAAATCTCGGAAATGTCCCAAGTGTCTCGAATCCGTGGGAAACGAAACTGGTGTGGCAAAGTGGCGCTTCCATCACGCCAGATCGGTGTGTAATTAGGTATTTTACAGACGGGAGCAAAAAATAGTATATTATGCAACAAGTGCGGTAAACGGCATTTGTCTCACGAGTTTATTTTTAATAAACGAGTGCCTAAAAAAGTTTACCGAACGTGTTGCATAGTATATTGTAAAACAAAAACGGTTAGTTTTTGGGTACATTCTCGCAAAACAATACCGGCAGAATTGACAAACGTCAAAATTGAAAGCGTGGGAAATATCATCGAAAACATCCGGTTGCTTCCAAACCCGTGCGGTAAAATCCCGAAAATGTCCGAAAATTTGGTATTTTACAGACGGGAGTGGAAAACTATATTTACTTTCCCTTGGCCTTTGAATTTTCACGTCACACGGTATGTTCGTCTTTTTTTTTTGCGATGACGCCACCCGGTCAAAAAGTAAACAGGACGCGGTACGCAACAATTGACTAAGCGTTCTCAAAAAGAGAGAGGCTCGCCAAATTATCCAAATCAGCGACGTGAATTTGTTATGAAAAGCGGGAAAACGCGTGCGCCGATGGATTCCAAACACGACGCACGTTTCGGGAAAATTTTCAGTATCCCGCGAGATCCTGAAACTGTGTGGCACCGACAACGCCACTATCCCCCGGGAATCTAACCACGTGCTCTCGTTAAAGTTTCGGGAAAGTCGCGGCACGGAATTATAATTGCGGGAGGTGAAAAACAAACCGTTTCCTTCCCTGATTGACGCGCGCTACGCTTTATTTTTTCCATTCGTATTGAAAATTTACGCGAAATTCGAATGAGTTCCGGTTCTCCCGATAATTCGCGGGAGTTTTGAGGAGTGGTGAGTGGGCCGATGTTCGTTTACTTTTTCTTTAAGATACGATTCTGCCGTACAAATTTAAAAAAAGCGTACGCCGTACTGCACGTTGGAAACATCGTGAATGAAATTTCTCGGTTTTTGAAAAAGCGTCTTGCTCGTTTATCAAAATATTCTTTTCTGCAAAATCAAAGTTATAGAGTGCGATGGAATTCAGGGAAATTTCACGAAATTCCGCGAAGGATTCCTAGGAGATGTAAATGTCAAAGGAATCGCAGGGGACAACCGGATTCATGCTTCAGGTTGTTGAAGACATTTCTAGCGACAGTTTTGGAAACCGGCACCGCCCGGTATCGAACCGGTATCGAAAACTATTTGTATTATGTTTACAAGTGTTTAGGTTGCTGCACTTCATTTGGTTTTCAAAAATTACTCTGTCAGCACGATTCAACACGCAAATATGTGATATTGCGCATGTAGGCGGAGCCAACGGGTCATGTCACTGACGTCACACGGATTTGGCGGGATTCCTAACCAAATCTCATTGATGGTGTGTTTTTTCGGTATTCGTAAAGTTTCTGTGCTTTCTTGTGGTTTTGATTAATTATTTTTAGCAAAATGCGGTGTTCTGTGGCAGGCTGCAATACGAATAACGGGTTAAAACATTTTTCAAATGATTTGATGCTATTTCCGTTCCCTGATGACGAAAACATTCAAAAGAGTAGGGTGGCTTCCAAACGGGCAGTTCTAAAATACTAAACTAGTTCTGACAAAATTGGGTCTGTATCAGTTACGAGATCCTGCTTTTCCAACATTAATATTTTCTAAATTTAGTTTCTAGCGAGGTTCGGATAACGAAATATGGGAAATACATGATCGTTAATTCAAATGCCATAAAAGTCGTTTAATTTCTGCCCTAGTCGTAACGATGATACATGTTTGTTGTATATCATGGTATACTGCACATAATAGCCGCCTCTCGTCATTGCAATAACTGCTAAAATTCATTTTAGCCCGTAAATTCTCTATTCTAGCAAAAAAAAATGTGTTCACTTTTAAGACTCTTGTTCATTTTATTACTTTTTCAAACTGTACATTTATAATTAATCTATAGAAAATTCTAAAAAAATACAGTGATTTATACTAAAATTAATTTGGAAAAACAAAAAAAACAAATTTCTTTAACATTCACAGATCATCTTAATCATTTTTTATTAATCGTAAATAAAAGGGTACCTAGTCCATTATTATAATATCAAATTATCACGCTAAATTTTTGGGACTAGAACTCGACGAAACCGTATCTTGGGAAACTCAATGCCAATTACTTTCTTCATAACTGCACACTTATTCTTCCCTAATAAAAAAATAAAAACTGCTTTGGATAGGATATGCGTGGTAAGTTTCTACTATGCTCACATCCATTCGAGATTACTGGTATTCATTTAAGAAAAATAGACTAGAATTTTCTAAAAGATATTTTAGGAACACCGGTGTCTATAATAAACTTTCAACAGAGCTAAAAAGTAATAGTAATACAAACATTTTCAAATCCAAAATAAAATACATTTCCCTAAAAAAACTGTTTTTTTAATTTAAAGGAATATTTTACTTATTAATGTTTGCTATCACTGTATCGTCGTGCTCTGTCACCTATTTTTATTATATAAATTTTTAATATAATCTATATTGCGTAACTAATTTTTACCCACTTTACGAAATCCATAATACCCTGATTGTATTCTAAATATGTGGGATAATAAAAATATTATTATTATTATTATTATTATTATTATCGAAACTTCGTGCAAACGCCATTAAACAAATTCGGAACTATTTCTTCATTAACGTAAATATCTTAAAATACATTTTATAAAATAAAACGTAACGGTTTGTTTATATGTTTCCGTATATTTGGATTCCACAAATATCCAGCACAAATATTACCTTATTTGTGGATTAGTATGTATGTAAACATTACTACTGGCGCAGATTGTTACTTTACTTTTTTAAGGAAGTTAATTTTTTGTTGAGATTCACTGACTGGAAGTCAAAGGCTAAAATAAATATGTTAAAATTGAAAATAATGTTACCGGGTCCAAACGTATTAATGGGAAAACGGGGGTGATACAGTAGAGGAATTGGGTAACGGGACATGAAACTGATAAAACTTCTAGGCTTGTATTTGTTAAACCTCAATCAATAGAAACCCCTCTTACATAGAAGCAGGGTTTCAGAAAGGCCTAAAAACATCAGTGGCCTTTGTCGATCTTAGCGCAGCATACGACACAGTGTGGATAGATGGGCTGATCCTGAAACTCATGAAAATGATCCCTTGCATGAAACTAACCAGATTACTGGAAAGAATGCTGAAAGGTCGCTATTTCAAGGTCACTTTAGGCACATCAAGTAGCAAATCAAGAAACATTAAAAACGGTCTCCCTCAAGGCTCAGTACTGGCTCCACTACTTTTTAATGTTTACATAAGTGACACCCCAAATACTACGTCACGTAAGTTTTGTTACGCAGACATGGCTATAGCCACTCAAAATAAACACCTTGAAGAAGGAAAAACAACCATAACAGCCGACTTAGAAACCTTAAACCAATACTTCCAAAAATGGAGACTGGGCCCGAACCCAAATAAAACAGAGACATGTGCCTTCCACTTAAATAACAGGATGGCGCACAGAGAACTAAATGTCACGTTTTGTGGAGAACCAATCAAACACAACAAACACCCCAAATATCTAGGCGTAGTCCTCGATAGCACCTTGAATTGACATGCCAGAAATTTAAAACCCGAAACAACATCATACGTAAATTGGCAGGCACCACATGGGGAGCAAATGCAGCTACCTTACGCACTGCAACACAATCACTTGTGTACTCTGTAGCGGAGTATTGCGCTCCTGTATGGGGCAGAAGCTCTCATGTAAATAAGATTGACACCCAACTTAATGAAGCCATGAGAGTAGTAACAGGGACATTGAAGTCGACTCCTTTACCATGGCTCCACGTACTATCAAATATCGCTCCCCCAGGAATCCGAAGAAAACATTCCAAGAAGGGCAAAAGATAAATCACCCAGACCAGCCAAGAACGTAGCCTATTCACAAGGTAATCGATGAACCCTGTGTGAATCGACTGAAATCAAGGGCCCCAATATGGAACTTGGAAGCACTTGCTCCAGGAAAAAAATACGACGCTTCTGAATCATGGACATCCGTATGGAATAACAGCAATGTCAATCAACACAACATAGAAGATCCTAATAAACAGCTCCCAGGGATGCAACTACCTCGTAAAACATGGTCCCTATTAAATAGAGTTAGAACCTGACATGCAAAAACGAGATCAGCGATGCACAAATGGGGAATTACCGACAATCCAGCATGTGACTGCGGAGCTGAAGAGCAGACATTAACACATATAGTCCAAGACTGCCCACTGAGAAGATTTACTAGACAATGGAAAGACTTTACTGATGCAAGCCCCGCTGCCATTGCATGGTTATCTGAACTGGATTTGGACCTGTAGATTTGATTTTCCCATACCGCTAGGTTGCTCGCACGCACCTGTTATATGTACTGTCTGTATCATATTTAATGTGCATTACTGTGTTTTACATTACTTGTATTAATTGTCATTTATGCCTACCTTTCATAAAAATTTTGTTTGTAACCTATTATATAGCACTTGTAGAGCCATACGATAAATAAATAAATAAATAAATAGAAACCCCAACCACCTCCAGAACACCTCCACATTTCAATAACTCGCATAGACCAAATAAAGTACTAAAGGATGCCTTGCACTGTGACTAATAATTTTAAGATATTGTTGACTTCAATGAAAATATGCCACCATATGATGAAGTTTCTAATGAAGTTCAAATAGAAACAGATGAACACACTTATGACAGCACTGACACTCCCATGGCCAGCACTCAAATACCTCATTATATAATGGTTCAAGGTCTATAGTCAGAAGACGATTAATGATGAACTGTTTTGAAGAAAATTATTAAGAATTTAGTTCAATAAGTCAGTCATTAAGCTTACTATTATTTATATTTATTTATAATTATATTTAAAATAAATCTTCTATATTAATCAAACGTGGTTCTATTAATCATTTTACCAAGCCCTAAAAAGGTTAAATTAAGAGTGGATGCCATACAAACAATTGTGCATTTGAGATAAAATTATGACATATATTTCCCAAGAGTTTTGAGAGAGCTAATTTTTTGATCCTTGGACTTGATCTTTAATATCCACATTAAAAATGTATTAAATTGAAATTACAAAGACCGAATTACCGAAAATATCGTTTTTTAAGGCGCCTTCTTGTCATAAAGCCCTATTGATCCTCTCTAGAACGATCGTGATTGGCATTATTTGCAGGATCTTCAAGAATTACATTTTCTTGTACGTCCTGGAGTCTTCCTCTATCACGAATATCGAGTAGAAATACACGTATCTACTGATACAATTAGCATCTGGAATACCTGGTGCAGCACCTATTATAGGGGTCATTAAATAGAGTTTCTAGAGATATCCAGAATCTCCCAGAAGCCATGAATTAGTATCACCTGAAATAGGATATTATTTAACAACAAAGGCAGTTGATATTTTTACAAAGTCAATTTATGTGGCAGTGTGGAGGCAGTAAAGTGATGGTGTTAAGTACATCTTTTGAAAATGCGGACAAAACGAATAGTCTTTATTTTATTTTTAGAACAGTGCAACGCCAATGTTCTTAAAATTTCCTTTTTCCATATAACATCATACGCAGCAGTGTAAACAAAACTGTTTAAAACTGGTTTATAGGAAATGTATAAAGATTTCCTTAGGTTCATCTACTGGTACACTAGTTTTTTACATCCTGTACCTATAAATCGTTGTCAATTACTTCGTTTTACAATAAACGAAGGTTTTATTATTCAGCTTTAATTGATCTGAAACTGCAGACTGCCGCAATGTAAGAGTCACGTGCTGTCTAAAAACAAGAAAAACTATCTA